TAAATAAAATCAATCCTTTATTTTATTCTTATTATTTACACTTTTTTCTCTACATTTAAAAATACTTTGCATACATAAAAACTTATTTGCATAATACATTTTTATTTAATATTTGTTTATTCTTGTTTATTTAAATATTGTACATTTAAATATTATGCATTGTAAATTCAATTTGGTTGTAATAATTTAGGGTTTAAATTTCTTGCAAAATAATCTCCCATTCAAAATTGTATCCCCCTCCCTATATCAAGTTGTAATAGCTTAGATTTATTTTTACGCACTTAAATGCTTTCAATTATACCATGATTAGAGAATTAGGGTTTGTATGCAAAATCAAATCAACAATTAGCTTGACCTAATCAAAAGACACAAATGCATGAAAAACAAACACAATGCACACTTGCACTCCTAGGGTTACAATCCACTTGTTTCCTTCAAAAATGAGCCATGGTATGCATGTTAAGTACTTTGGCAAAACAAAAACAAAACAAAAGATCATAGTCCCTCGATGACGCTATTTGAGTTGCCCAAACAAAATGATCAAGTCCCTTAAGAAAATTGCCAAAAATACTTAACACAATTGCTATCATGGTCTATACGATGACCCGCGCCTGTCCCGTTAAAACATCCTAACACAAGGTTGTTCACCAAATACAATGGTGAAGCAACAATGTTAAAAGGGTTAAAAACATAATAAAGATCTTTGAGTAAAATAGGGTAGATGGCTCTTAGTTACTTAATCAAAAACTTGCAAAACATCCTTGCTATTTTCAAAACACACTTCACAACACAATTTCAAAACCCTACTTTCAAACATTGAAAACTTTTCAAAAGACAAAAAAACCTTTGTATACATTCATACAAGAATCATTACAAAGGTTGCCACAATGATGGCCTCTTTTCAAAACATCTTTCCAAATCACACACAAAGCACCATTTCAAACAATTGAAGAGCACCATTTCAAACAATTAAAAAGCAAAGAAAGTGATCTAAGCAAGTAACTAAGAGCCCATGGATAACCATGGATAGAAAGGGTTCTAATACCTTCCCTTTCTATAATCTACTCCCCGAACCCTGGAAAACATCTCAAAGGTCTTTCCTGTACTTTTTTACCTTTCCTTAGGATAAAATAAAAAGTCGGTGGCAACTCTTGCTAAACCGAAACATTTGCGAACACAAACGCAAAACCTCAAGTCAGTTCTCCCACCGTATCACACCATCATTTACCAATATTATTATTATTATTATTTTTTTTTTATTTTTTATTATTACACCATAGACTAAGATTTATTCTAGTTATCTAATTAAAACTAAGTTCTCACATACCCTTAGCCATGCCTACCTAACCTTAATTATGCCAAAATAAATCAAAGTAAAAAATAACGACTAAATATTCAAATGGGGTGTTACAACTTTCTCCCACTTAGAACATTCTCGTCCCCCCAAATTACCTTATGCGAACAATTCTAGGTAAGACTCCCACATATTACTCTCTAACTCCCACGTCATACTTTCTCCGATCGCTCCTCCCCAAAATACTTTCACAAGAGGAATTTCCTTGCCCCTCAACTTATTTATCACATGACTTTCGTTTCTCACCGGTAAGGTCTCAACCTTAAGGTTATCCCTCACTTGTACATCATTCATCGGTATCACATGAGATGGATCTGAAATATACTTCTAAAATTGTGACACATGGAACACATCATGCAAGATCAAAATATTAGGTGGCAAGGCCAAACTATATGCAACAACTTCCACTTTATCTAAAATATGATATAGACCAATAAATTGAGGAGTAAGTTTCTTCAATTTCAATGCTCGTCCAACATAGGTCACCGGGGTGACTCTCAAAAGTAGATGATCTCCCTCCTAAAATTCAAGGTCTTTCTACCGTTTGTCATGGTAACTCTTCTGCCTACTCTCCAAAGTCTTCATCTTTCCAGAATTAACTTCACTTTCTCTGTAGTCAGTTGGACAATTTCCAGTCCAAGTATTACGCTTTCTCCGGATTCATACCAACACAATAGAGTCCTGCACCTCCGACCATACAATGCTTCAAATGGTTCCATTCCAATGCTAGAATGGTAGCTATTGTTATAAGTAAACTCTATCAGTGGAAGATAACTATCCCACATTCCTCCTTTCTCAAGTACGCAAGCTCTCAGTAAATCTTCCAATGACTGAATAGTTCTCTCCGATCGTCCATATGTGTATGGATGATATGTTAAACTCAATCTCAGCTTAGAGCCCAATGCATCCTGTAAACTCTTCCAAAAATCATAAGTAAACCTTAGATCTCTACCAGACACAATGCTAGATGTAACACCATGAATCTTCACAATCACACTAATACAAATCTCTGCTAATTGTGGTATCGGAAAACTGATATCGATCAGAATAAAATGAGCTGGCTTCATTAGCCTATCAACAATCACCCAAATTTCATCATGTCCTCTTGGAGTGCCCGACAACCTCGTCACAAAGTCTATGGATATACTATCTCATTTCCATTTTGGAACATCTAACGGTCCCAATAACCCTGCAGGTTTTTGATGTTCCACTTTCGACTTCTGACAAGGCAAACATGCATATACAAACCGCGCCACATCTCGTTTCAGTATGAGCCACCAAAATAACTTCTTCAAGTCTTGATACATCTTAGTCGCACCTGGGTGAATACTCAATCTACATCTATGGCTTTCTTCTGGGATCATATTTTTCATCTCAGAGTCGTATGGAATACAAATTCTATTAGGGAATCTCAACACACCTTATGCGTCTACTTTGAAGTCACCATCTTCAGAATGATTACCTCCAACCATCAAATCTACCAGTTTGACATCCAATTTATGAGCTTTTTGAAGCAACCAGTAGAAAATCATCGTAATAAAATCAATGAATTTGCCATCAAATATTTATTTATCTCGTATAGGAAAAGGAAAACATCGAAGAAAACCTGAAGAGGGTGAAATCACGGTCTTGCAGCCAAAAGATCGGTTAAGGGAGTCGATTACGCGAGGGGAATATATTAGCACCCTTCACATACGTGGTACTCCACGGGATTCACTCTTGTTATTCTAATCAAAGAGCGTGTTCTAATCTAAAAAGCTTACGAGCTAAAGAAAAATGCAAAGAGGGAATACATGCAAAAGAAAACACGGGGAAAATAAGGAATATTTATAAATTTTGGCTCGCCTAGGCCCCACAACCAAATGCCTATGTATCCCTTTAAGGAATCAGAGTTTCGTAGTTCGGCTTAAAAGTTTCCATTTGTTAGTTGATTTTAAATAAAGAGACAAGTCATCATTTTTAAAGGAGAAGACTCGTCTAAACGCCCATAAGGTATGATAAAGAATAAAGGACTACGCACCAACATGAGGGAGGGTTTGAGAACACTTCTAGTACTCAAGTGGAGAAGTCGACAACCATGGGGATAGAGGAAGAACATCTCTATTATAAATGAATCATGTCTAATCTTGAAAAAAATGTTTTAAAGGGTAAAAGGTGCTCAAGCGCTCAAAAAAGTTTGAATGAGGTTGGGTGTTTTTTATTCTTGAAAAATGGTTTAAGAAATGTTAGAGTGTTTTATGAATTTGCCAAGAAAAAGAGTTTTAGTTTTAACCATGCAAAATGGGAAGAAAAACATCTAAGGGAAACTATCTAATTTATATCCCTAATGTTATCATATAATGATTGATCCTATAGTTGAGTTTGAAAGGGAAATCTCTACCTATGTTAGCATGCATGGATTATGATTCTAATGTCTAACTTGCATCGGAAACGAAACAAGTGAATCCTAAGAGAGCATACAATGTTTACTGCCTAATGAGAAACATAAGCATAAGTGCAATCAAACAAAAACGAGTCGAAGCCAAAACAAACATCGGGTGCGAGCTAAAAGCAAACAATAGAGTTTAATGGATCTCAAAGTGGGAGTAAGGAACTATTTCCACTTGATTTGTTCGAGCATCAGCATCGAGTAATAACTCAAAGCATCAATGTCGAGCGATGCGAGCTAACATCGTCGAAATGAATGACAAAATGTGGGGGTAGATTACGAACCCTCCTCCATTTTATTCGACTCAATGGACTATAATAGGCACGGTTCAAAGCTTCAACACATGGCGCGAGCTAGGAACGACAAGGACTAGAATGTGTGGGGGCCGATTGCGAGCCCTCCTCCACTTTATTGAATCGATAACAAGCACAATGTAAAAGGGAAGGGGAATTGCCTACTTTTGATGACTTTAGCAAAAATGCCTCCTTTTGAGGTCTTTAAATAAACAACAAGAAATCGCCCCTTTTGGAGCCTTTTGCAAGCAAAAACATCGCCTCATTTCAAGGTCTTTAACAAAACAAACATGATCTCACTTGGGGACTTTAAACAGATTGTCCACCTAAAGAGAAACAAGAAAAATAAAGTGCATTGGAATCAAGATAAGTGTTAATCCAGGAGAGAGGGAGTTTAAATCCTAAAAATAGTCTCGTGGCATGAATCAATTGACTATAAAAAAAAAATAGATTTTAATATTATGAGTTTACAAAAGTGCTTTTTTTAGTGTAATTTTGTGAAACTTGAAAGAGTATTTATGAATGAATGAATTAATTAAATTTTAATGAATTGATAGTTGCATAGACTAATCAAGTAATGAATCTAATTGAAAACCTGAACACCAAAATACCTGCCCCAACTAATTTTACTCAAATAGAATTTATTTTTAGTCATAGACATAAAAATAAATGGGTGATTTCAAATGTGTATGAGGTGTTTGACACAATTAAATTCAAATAATTAATATGGTAATAAAAATTAATATGAAAAAATTAAAGATTGATTTATTTTAGTACTGAATATTTCTATAAATGGTGGGAGTATAATTTTTTCACATTAAAATTACTTGTTCCACAATAAAATAACCTCATATATGATATATGGTTCAACAGAATAAATTAACCTTTAATAAGCGTAACGGGTTCAAATCAATTCAAAGCAACCATGGCGTCGAAGGATTCAACACCACCGTATCAAAGTGCTGCGAGAATCTCCGATTCCCAATGTTTTCCTCAATACACCGCCTCTCTCAAATGTAAGAAACCCTTATTACTCTTCCTCCTCTGACGTTTTTGTTGAACTTGAATTGGTCCTAGCAAGTCTGAATATTTGAATACTTTTTAGGTATAAGTAATTTAGTTAGTGTTGTTACCCATTTGCTGATGTGTAGAAATTAGGTGATTTTGAATGTGTATAAGGTGTTTGAGTTAATTGGAAGTGAAATTAGTTTAATTTTGTTCTCCAAATAAATTTGTAGGACAAAGTTTAGTAATTTATCTTTTCAGCATGATTATGGGTAGCTTACCGTACATTCGAGCGATATCTTGATTTGAAATAAAACTGATTCCAGTCTATACAAATTTCTAGTGTGTATATATTTTGTAGAAAAGATGGTGGATACTTAGTTGGTTGATCATGTAGAGAGAAGACCGGGATATTATGTGGCAAGGAGAGTAGATCAGATGAAGAAAAGTCAAATAGTTACAAGTAGAGGAAAACCTAGAAAAACTATAAGAGAATTTATTAATAAAGATCTCGAGAATAACGATTTGGTTGGAGACATGGTCTTTAGATAGAACATTATGACTGGAGCTTTTGATCCATATAGCCGACCCACTTAGTGGGATAAGAATTGGTTGTTGTTGTATCTATTTAACATGATTCCCATTTTGAATCCTAATTCTCTATGATGAATAACTACCTTAACTTAATGTAGCTAGCCATTTTTTTGCAATTTGGAAAATAGATCTTCAGATTCACGATTTGAATATTATGATGAGCGTGTTTTTGAGAACAGAAAAAGTAAAGAAAAACAATGGAAAAAAACCGGAAGAATAAGGACTTAAAAGTTTCAAATTCCATGCTACTATTCAGGCAATTATCAGTGTATCTTAATTTTTTTTTCTTTAACATTTGCAGGTTTAGAAGAATTTAATACAGATAAGAGTAAATGTCAAGAACATTTTGATGTTTACAAGGAGTGTAAGAAAAAGGAGGTACTTGAATTTTGATGTTTAGATTGCATATTTCGAAAGGCTGCGGTGCTGTTAGATGATTTTGGATTTAGATATCTAACTTTTAAGCTTAGCTGATATTTGCTCCCTCCTTTATCCATATTCACCCCTTCCTCTTTGTTATTTAGTTTGGTCTCGTCATTTTTTTATGCGACTGTTCGAGTCATAATGCGGTTTGGTTCGGTTCGGTTTGCAAAATACAAATGCAAGCTGAACCGAACCGCACGGTTTTGTTATAAAATGGTCCAAACACATCCGAACCAAATGCGTTTTTTGCAGTTTCGGTTTGGTTTTGCGGTTTTATATTGGGTCGGTTCGGTTTTGAACACCCCTAAGAGCATTTATTTGTGGTAATTGCCAATTGGTTATTTATATTAAACATGGTTCAAATTAGAATTAGCGAGTAATTTATTAAGTCATTGATCAATTGTCATTGGATTATTGGACTCAAAATATTGAATGTTACAAGAGGGGGGTCAACTCAAGAGCAGGTGATGTGAGTCCCTAATGTCATACATGTTGGGTATGAAGAATGATGACCAGGAAGGAGTTTTTGGAGTGGATAGTTTGTTATATAGGTGGGTTCGAAGGAGTGTGAGGGGTGAAAAGGGTGAGTAAGTTATTGTATACAGGTATCACGGAGGAGAGGGTGTCTGGTGTATATGAGGCATCAAAGACAGGCCATTGTTGAGGGAGAGTTCTTCTCTTGAACTTTCTTTCCGAGTAATCCAAAGCGGCGCTATCCCACTATAGCGGAGCGGGGTGGAGGCCGGCCACTATGGGAAAAGCCTTAGCGGTGCAAAACACTATGGCGTCTGCTATAGGGTAAATAGCAGGTAGCAGGGGCGGAGCGGTTCCTGGCCCAGAGTGATTTTTGTCCCTCTATCCCTTTCTTCTCTGAAAAATCAAAATTACCCCTTAAATTTAAAACGTTTTAAGGATAATTTCGAGTTTTTCAATCAAATTTGAGTTGAGACTCGATCCTAACCTTCCTTCATTGATGTTCTTGCACTTCTTCCGTTCCAAAGAAAAAATCACAAGTTCCTTCCAAGCCTCTCTCTGCACTTTGTTCTTCCCAATGCACTTCATATGTTTTTTTTAAGGGATGCACTTCATATGTTTATAATTACTATTCATGTAATTTGTCCAAAAGATGATCAAATAGAGGCCATCCCACTATACGCTGCTATCCCATTTTTGGGGTCGGCTGCCCTGCAACTAAAGAAATTTTGTCTACAATATCATTTCTAATAAGTTATTTTCAGTTGCTATCGGAATGTATGTCAACCTTTGTTTCATTTTTGACATGTGTAACCCCTCACCTACCCTAGATTAGACTCCTCAAAGTTTGTGTCATCAAAACCATCTACATTATACACTACTTATTCACGCTCTTAATTTACACTTATCTGAGACTTAAAATCATCTCATCATAGACCCTTGGGTAGTGTAACTGTGCTGTCGTAACTGTCTAATCAAGCTCACTAACAAACAACTAATTGAGAATAGCTGTTTGATCAACGGCATGATAGTCTAATGTTGATGTAAACTGGATTACTTTTTAGAATTGTTCTTATTGTAATATCATTGCTCAATAACGCAGCATGAAATATTTTGACTCAATTCTATTTCCTTGTTTTGACAGAGGGAGGCAAGATTGGAACGTAATAAAAGTCGGTCCTTATTCTCATGAAATATTGGCAGAATTTCACTAATTGTATCATAGGTAACAAAGTGAAGAGTTCACATGTATTACTGGTTCATGATCATCTATGGTAGCGATGGCCATTAGGGTTATGAAATTATCTGAAGCTATGACATTCGAGTACTTCTACGCCGTCGTTGTTTTTGCATCTGTACTTAATTTAGGTTCCAATAAATTAATTGTTACACTTTACTACAATATGATTGTGTTCCACTGAAACCTTGTGGACCTTTGGATACTAAAGTGATTGTGTTGCTGGTAATTTTTTTGGCATGTCTGTCAAATTGTCATCGCTGCCCGCAAAATGCATTCCAGATACAGCAATCATGGCTGGAGAATGTGAATTGTTGTTTTTGAAATTAGTTTGATTGAATTGGTTGAGTCGGTTCAGATTCTTTGTCTCTGCAGCCTCTCACTGCATCTCAATAGTTAAGATTAATCTAACAACTGAAATATAATACTTTCAATTCTTAGCTTAATCTGATAGTTCCTAAAGCTCAGTGAGTGAATGTAAGAGTACATTTTATATGTGAGATTCTTTTTCCACCCAACATCAGTTAAGATTTGCCCATTGAGAAGGAAAGATAGTTTCTCAATCTGTCCTTAGCAGGTTACAGGAAGATTTAAAACTTATTGGAAAATTATTTTAAAAAATCACCTTACTTGTACCATTCTTATGTGCACTTCCTAACAAATATGTGAGGTCCATATGGGCACTAATGAAATATGGAGATTTTTTTTCAAAGCATTCAAAATTGATTATGGATATAAATTTTGATATGAGTGGTTGTTTTCAAGTAAAATTGATTGTGTTTTTTAAATGATAATATTTGAAGTTAGAATTTGTAATTTTTGGGTTAAATATGATTTTTATGTTAAAAATTTATCGTGTAATTCATTTTTATAAAATTTATTCAAATGTAAAGAATTTTTTATTAATTAATTTTTAATCAAAATAAATTTTATAGAATTAATTCATATAAACTCAATTTTTTTCATTGGAGAACTAAACACACATAAGAGACGTTTGGACTAATTTTGAGTTTAAAAGTTTTTTAAAATTAGATAAAAAAACAATTAAATTACAATTTTATCAAAGTGACACACAAACACTAAGATGCAGAATCAGTGGTGCTGCATGTCATTTGTGTGGTTAGTCTCCGGCTAATTTAGAATATATGTAGATCAAACAAACAATCCTTCAATTGTATTTATGGATTTGTTCTTAGTCATCGAAGTATTGTAGTTATATCACATCCACATAAGTGATACCCTTGTCCACAAAAATGGATGTGTCAATCAAATATGACATATATGCTTTTAGAGCGTATGCTCGATGTTGCGCAAGCTGCTCGTCATCACCGACAACCTGCTCTGCATCATGCAACTACTGTGTATACAACCTCTCCAGAAATTGAAACCTAGCATGAGTCTCTCGGGTGGGTTCTAACTCATGCAGGGCATCCCTTAGGTCAGCTCTCAGATAGTCTACCATCATCTCTAGTGCTCCATCTTTGTTAATCCTACCATGATCTAACAGTTCCCCCTATCGAAAGATGCAGCTGGAACGAGTCATCGTCCAGTGTGATAAACATCTCACTATGTGGAAGATGAAATGATAATGTCTCCAAGTGCCATCTCTCTACAAACGGGAACATCATACCATGATTAATCGTAACATAACGGATTCTGCACAAGTATCTCAACCCAAATAGTTGTAGTACGTCTTAAAACTAGTGCTCATTAAGTTGTTGTAGATCTGTAATCTTCAAGACATAGTTGGTGAATTTTAAAGCATCACGTTCCTGCAGAAAAATTAATCTCCATTAGACATGTTTTTCAAAGAATATTTTGAATATTATAATAAACATGTTTTTTAAAGAATGAATACAATTGAATTTTACCTCTCCGCCCCAGACATATCTGGCAGTATGCTCGGGGGTATAAAGACAAAAATAATAAGTCAGACAGGCCTCCTTCGAACCCTGCGGAGCCTCGGGTGTCTCCTGTGGAGACTTGAGTGCCTGTTATGCCTCGTGTGCCTCGGTAGGTGACATTTTTCTCCTATGAGAAGGCGAAGACGAAGATGAATGAGCCCATAGAAGTTGACGCCACACTACAACAACTAGGCTAGAAACAATAGGTGCTTGTGAGGCTTGGGATCTTTCCCTCTAAACCGATGCATGTTGTACAACTCTGTCGTGTCTCAATCTATCTTATTTATTAACCATAATGTCTATAAGCAAACCACACAGCATTACATAGATGAAACACAATGAACTCAAACAAAACAATACAATCTGATAAATTTCAACGATGCATCTCCGAATTTTGAAAATCCAAACGTTAGAAAATTCTAAAGTTGCATCTCCGTAACATTCTGCAACTCAAATGAACGTTAATGGCGGAAATGCAATCATGCCAACATCCAAAATAATGCATTGATCATTAACACTACCTATCAAATTCGTTGTTCATGTAAATAACATATCTAAACTACCTATTACATAACCTAATATTCAATTTCTACAAATGTATATAGAAAATATTTTTTTATAGAAAAATTCAAAAACTTACTAAATGTGAGTTTAGTTCGATGTTGAGTGAGCTCTTTAATCAATTTGTTGTTAATGGAAGAAGATTTGAAGTGAATTAAAGGATTTTGAGAGAATATGAGCTAGGAGAGTTTCAAACTCGAGAGGTTTAAAGTTTGAGAGAGTATTTTGAAAAGTGAAGAAAGAGAAATGATTTGGAGCGTTTTTTATTAAGCAGTATCCGGAGATGCGTCTCCGTAAATTGCACGGAGATGCATATCCGTACACACCATATTCGGAAGATGCATTTTCGTAAGCACTTCAAACACATACATTCTTGAATCAACAGTCCCTAAAGTTGTAAAAAAATTACGGAGATGCATAACATTCTGACATGTTATGTTTCGAACACATACATTCTTTATATTATGTGTCTATGTTTCGAACAAACCCTTTTTAATTTTATCGAGTTAAGTCAAATTAATAGTAATATATATATATATATATATATATATATATGAAAAAATAACTCTCCTCAAAAATATTTTCAAACTTTCATAAAATTTATGAGAAATTATATACTTTTAGAGAAATACTTGTATGAAAACCGACTTAAATGAACAATTAATAAGAATAGAGAAAATTATAAATTGGTCAGAAAATATTCATAGTATTTTAAAGAAATGATAAAATAAATATATTTGGTGATACCCGACCCGCCCGGATCCATTTGTAATATTAGCACATCGGCATTGCAGTGTTTGTTGCAGAAGAATCAGAAGCAAATACGAAAAACGATGGAACACAAAGAAGCGAACCTTCTGAACGAATCCTTAGGTCTTGACAGCAACAACAACTTCTACGGTCGATTCGTCCTTGTAGAAGACACTGTCGACACAAGCGCCGCTTTCGTTCTTCACCATATCCTCAACCGCACCTTCTCTTCCCACCCTTCTTCGTCTGTCATCTTCCTCGCCCTCTCCAACACTTTCTCCCACTACGATCGAATTCTCAGAAAAATTGTAACTTCCCAACTTCCTCATTTCAAATTTGTATTGTTAATGTTCTGTATTTTATTATGTTTCTTTTTTTGTTTTAGGGTTGCAACTTGGCTGCTCAAAGAGATAATAATAGATTCTTTTTCATTGATTTGCTTATGTTGCAGTTTCCAGGTGAGAAATTCAGGTATCTTCTCCACCAACACCTATTACTAATTACTAACTTTTTCAGCAACCCATATTATTAAGCTCTAAAATATTGCATATCTTGTCATTTTACTTGCTGCTACTTTACCATAAATATATCCTTGTTATATATGACTAGATGAAGGAAAATCCAAACACAATGGTTTTGCTGCTGTATTTGAGAAAATTGAAACACTGATCAAGGCATTACCTCAAGACAACATGAAATGTGTCACTATCATGATAGATGATATTTCTTTTCTTCAACTTGCTGCCAATGGCTCTTCAGATCATGTTTTAGACTTCCTGCATTATTGCTATACACTAACATCAGAATATGTAAGATGATATCATTGACTTGACTGTTTTTCAAATCAATTTCAATTTTTTTTTTGTTCTTTATTTATCTGTTCTTATCACAGGGTTGTGCATTCGTTGCACTTGACCATAGGGATATTTATTTGAATGAAGACAAGCCTGACATTATCTTAGAGATGGAGCACCTTGCTGACGTTTTGGTCAAGGCTGAACCATTGGCCACTGGTTTGGCAAAAGATGTGCATGGACAGGTATATTTCATATCGTTTTACATTTTTTTAACCCGCTGATGTGGCTTGGCATCAGCCGTTGTGGCGGTGCTAAGATGTCGCCATGGATGACCATTTGCTTGATCAGTCACCCCATTTACGCCAGATATCCTACGTGCAGAGTTTTTTCAATGTGTTTCATTTCATCATTTGAGCTTTTGGTCTTCCACCCATTAGATTAAGCTAACAATTGGGTTCTACTGTTGTGAGAGATTAACAAAAAATACATAAATTGAAAAGATCCAATTCTCATTTATTTAGAGATCAACACTCACACATTGATGTGTAACACTCGAAAGGGAACTAGGAGTCATATCTTTCCGTCGATCATAGTTCTGACTTTTGAATCTCTAACAAAACCAACATTTTGACTGGACAAACCTTGCAGCTACTTTTCTTTACTCGAGCATGAAGCTAAGAACATGTCCTTGTATTTAAGCTTACAGTTCTTGTTTTATGAAATTTCTTTTCAAGGGCATATCTTGAGCTAATTGGCCCCTGATTGCTCCTGGAATTTGGATACATATTAAATGACTCAACTTTTCCCTTAAACCAATTCGTTTGAAATGCCCTTGGGATTTGTAAATTTTTACTGGTAATTGAAGAACTGATATTGGACATTTTTATCAAGAAAAATTAATCTTAGCCTTGAAATAAGTGACGGTTTTTTGTTCTTATGCAAGTTGTCTGTTTCTCATGTTTTTTGTACTTCTAGATCATGTCTGAGCCACAATACCACTCTTCCAGTTTCTCATTTTAATCACTCAAATTATCTATCATCAGTGGCGTTGTTAATGCATGTTCTGGTTGCTACAAAATAAATCAAAAGGAGAAGAATAAGTTATTATTGTTTATCTTTCAAATGTTGAATTATGTTGTAGTTCTAATACTGCAACTGCAAATATTTCATGCTTTTGTTTGCACTGCTTCCAGGGGTTTATCTTTATCTCGTCTTAAGATTGATATAGCAAATTAGCAATCACTGTCTGTAGCCATGGATTATCGATTAAATCGGATTGCATAAACTTACTCTGATTATGTTTTGTTTGTCATCTTATGCAGTTAATGGTGTTCATTAAGCAACATGGAATTTCACCAGTTAAGATTCATAATTTTCACTTCAAGATCAAGGAAAATAGCATTGAGTGTTTTTATCCTGGCACAAAAATTTAGTGCTGTCAAAATTCTTGTACAAACAGTTGTGGAATTTAGAAAGGAGAGAATGATGGCACATCTTTGTTGATGGTTCCTGCATTTTAAAGAATGTTAATTTTCAATCAGAAAGTATTTATTTTAGCGCAAAATTTTCCGATTCACTCTATTACATTTTTACACTTTCAGTTCTCTCTCATCATCTACCATAATCATAATATATTTTTTAAGAAAAAGCTTTTATTAAACATTCCTTTTTTTTATTAGTCAAAATTTCTTTTATCTAATAATAATGCCATTATCCAATGCACACCTTTATTAAGGGTGGAAATAGGCAAAATTGAAGAAACAAGTCGGATCAGAGTAAAACACATGGTTTTGTGGAAGCAAAATACAAAGTAAGTTGATATAATGATGTTAGAACTGATAAAGAAAGAATCTAAATGAAAGGCTTACGCAAGGTTTTACAAGCTCTCCTTGTGGATGATTTTCTGTAACTATGACCTTGAAAAACTTGATTGCCTTGTTCACCTTAGGATATTCAGTAGCCATGAGCTCGGTTGATCAAGTGCTGAATAAAACAATCAGCAAATTGAAGATTGAATTGATGGAAAATAAACTGTTTGGCCTTTTTATGCCTAATGCAAACTCTAACTTGTATGCACTAAGACATAACATATTTTTCATTTCAAAATCGAAGCACAAAACACAGAAACCCTTAAGACCTATGAAGATGAAGCTACAATATTGAATCAAAGAATCTAAACTACTAGTTGTTTGAGTTTCTAATTAGGAAACAAGTACCTCAATCCTATGGTACAACAGCCGTTCTAAGAGATGCTGGCGGCGACGGTTGTGATTGGTTTAGAATCTAAATGAAGAGCTTACAAGCTTTCTTTGATCAAGATTTTCATTAACTATGATTTTGAAAAACTGAACCAGCTTGTTCAGTTCAGGATATTCAGTAGCCATAATGAGCTTTGTTGATAAAGTCATAGGTTGAAAGTAAAATTGCAGAGCCTGGACAGTGTGTTTTTTGGATATAGAGTTTTTCCGTTGAGTAAGTAAGTAGTATGGCTTTTGTTTTCTTTGTAAAAAAAGAGTCTTGTACTTGTTTAGTTTTGGAAGGAGGGAGGGAGAATCAAACAAAGGTTACATCAAAAAGGGTGTTTGTGTGTTCTTCTTCATAAATCAGGATCAAGAGGGTTATGTTTGTGCTGCTGCAATTTTTCTATCAGTGTTTGCAGTATATCTTATTGCTAGCTATTGTTGTTCTTTGTTCTGGTTGGCATCTCTTTTGCCTTAGATTCTTAATGCAATTATCTTTATTTGTTGTTTCAAAAAAAAAAAATCAGGATCAAGAGTGCACGCGTGGCAGGTTCACAATAGAGGGAACTTCTTTTGGGGTCTCTTTTGACTTCTTTTTGTGGACATTCTTTTGTTCTTATTCACTCTTCTTTGGTGGAGAAAAATCTACACATATCAACTGAAATTCTTGTACAACAGGCTCAGATGTCTTACAAGGATGTCGAGATCTCTGATCTGACATACACACATAGGCAAGACAAAACAGTACTGAAAAGATAAAGAACACACCAGAATTGTTTATCCAGTTCGGTGTACAACAACACCTACTCTGGGGGCTACCAAGCCAGGAATGAAGTCCGCTATCAGCAGTATCAATTTGCAGACTCTACAGCCAACACACCCGTTGACGTTCTACGCACTTAATCACTACCCAATGACCCTTCTACCTAGGTCCTCCCTAGATATGGAATATCCCGATCCCATTTTCAATCATCGCAATAATGTCTAGCAGTCAACACCTCAGTCACTGCATCGACGGTCCTTCACCAAGATTTTGATCACACAGATAGACAGTTTAGCTTCAAAGCTTTCTCCAAGAACAATACACCTCTTACCTACAGGCTTCGAGGTAAACTTGGTAACCTTCCCACAACCCGGGAGGTTTACCTTGACAAAACCCCTAGACTTCTACATCTTGAGCCCTATCTTTTCTAGGTTACAAACCCTTCTACTTATAACCTGTTACCCAACTGGTTTTAGACCTTCAATCACAGCAAATCAGCTGTAGCAAACTGCAGAAACTTCTGCCCCAAGAAAGGTCTTCAATCTTTACTTTCCTAAATAATCTCCTTATTTAGAAAGTCTTCATTCTCCTTGATTTCTGATTGAATTTTCTAGACCTTTAAATATGCGCCACATAGGATGCATAATATTCTCCTGAATATGATGCCTATGTTAAGAACAAACTGAATCTCATTAATCCAGCTCAGCAGGCGCGATGTCAAGACATCTTCTTCGACATGTTGTTCCAGTTGTTGAAAAAGTTCAACATAACATGTTATGACATTGTAATAGGACTTCTTGTTGTACATGTTCTTCTTATCTTATTCTTTATTACATTATTGCTGCTATTATTTGTTTTATAAAAATTAAGCCAATCCTAAAACAAGAGAACTAACAATCTCCCTCTTTGACAAATTTTGACTAAAACAAATAATCTAAAAACAATTGTAATCTAGGAGATTACAACAATACAAAAATATAACCCTCGGCAGTAGTGTTCAGAAGCTACTGCACACAACAATAGATCTTCAGTTGAAAATAATATCTCAACATCTTGTTCGATAACTTCTTTGCAGCACTCTGAAGAACTCAATTGCATCAGCACCAACGAACATCAGCATCAGCTTCAGGATAAAAAAAAGGAACGTCCTGAAGTCTGGTTGATGCACACGAGGAAGAAGACGGCTTGTACTCCCCCTCAATCTAGAACCAATGGTGGAATAAGACCAAACCCTCCACCACTCCTGGTAACTCGGAACACGGATCACAACTGTGTTCATAACTCAGATCACATGTCACAAACATATGTCATAGGATCGAACATCTTATTTTGACCTTTGTGAACATTAATAATAACCACTTGTGGAATCAGCAACATATGAGCTAATTCATCTTTCTCCCCCTTTTTAGCCAAAACTTCACAAAGGAGACCTTCATAATACCAGACCCAAGCACAACTTACCCAAACCCGAATAAAAGCCATAAGAATTATAGACTCAAGGAGATCATGGGGTTACAGATATACGGAGAACTCTCTATAAATAACTGAGATTTTTACTTGGAAAATAACGATCCTAGATTGTAGCACCAATCTTGGTCAAAAGAAACGATATTTGAGGAGGAAATTTAAAATATCAATGTGCACTGTCCATGATGTCTTTGAATGCTATAGCTATTTCCTATACATACACATGCATAGTCAGACAACTACGTGTTTGAACACATAGGCCACTCTTGTTAGACGATGTGGTCGATCTAGAAGTGGGGCTGAATAGATCGTTTAAAATAATTTGCACTTTTTAAAATTGTTTTTCAGAAAAATATGCGAAAGCTTTCTGGAATATCCAATCGTCTAAACGATCCTCTATTGAAAAGATCAGATATGCGTAACCGTATGAGATAAAGACAAAGTAAGAATCAATGTGTTTTACTCAATTGATCAATCACTTATACACCCTCAATGAATATTAATTACTTCAAATGAGTTGAATGAGATAAGGCTAAACACAATGAATAATTTGTGGATTAGTCAAATTGTCAAACACCTTATGGGAAAAGCACCTTAGGTTTGACTATACTAAATTATAGTGGTGAGTTTTCTTAGGTATCAATCAAAAGGATTATTACCAATGTTTTGAAATGAAATCAACACACCACAATTTCAATATATGCAGATTTGACAAATTAATTTTCACACTGTAGTAATCAAGTATAGAGATAAAGAAAAAGCAGAAGAACACACAGTTTGTTAAGGCAGTTCCCCTTGTCGTCCTTGCGCAGGGTACGTCTGCCCCCAATTCTAGAATCTAGAATTGAGATACTTAATATTAAGTTGCAAATGTTGAGAAGAGATAGTTCATAATACAAACAAACCAATATTGCTGATATAACAATCTTCTTCCCTTTCATTGGTTTGAGCAAAACCAAGTGCAAAATACTTCGAACAAACCTCCGGTTAACGCTACTTGATTAAGAAAACCCACTGTTTCTTAATCCTTTCACTCGGCTGATTTAGATCGCAAGAAATTTGACCCCAAAAAAACTCCACAATCCTCTGGTTACCACTACTTGATTAAGCAAACCCACCATTTCTTAATCCTTTCACTCGACTGAATTCAATGAAGAAAAGACTTGTGCAAAAAACCCCGCACCAATAGGAATCTTGGAGGAGAAAATCCAAATGATTTTATTCAAGAACAGCCCACAATTGCTCAACCCAAATCTGAATTGAATCCTTGATTTGAACGTTATCACCACTGCAATTTTCTTGAATCAACAACCATGATTATGTGTAGATGTTGATTTTGAGAAGAGAGGATGAAGATGATGAGCACTATGTGTATCTTTCACTAGTTCTTGTTAACTTGAAATAATAACGCATAATGAATATATATATGTTACCTAATATCCAAGACCCAGAACATAGCAGAAAATCAGATGTAGCCAACGAGCGGTCGACTCAACCAGAAATAGGGGTCGGCGCGACACAACCCACAGACAAAGAAAAATTGTTTTGAAGTGCAATGCATCGACCGCTTCAGGACTTGCGTCGACGTAAACTTTGAATATTTTGATTCCCAGGTTGAGTCGACCGGAAGAATCGACGTGACACATCCAGTAATTAGAGGGAAATCCATTATGAAGTGCAGTGCATCGACCGCTACAAGGCTTGCGTCCACGCAATAGTTTAATATTTTAATTTCCAGTTTGAGTCGACCGGAAGGGTCGACCTGACATATCCAGGGCTTGATTGAAGGTGATGAGTCGACCACACATATCTTTGAGTCGATGCACATATTGAATTTCCTCAAAAATAAGTGTCTCTGGAGATCTTCATTCCAATCATTCCATTGCAATATTGTTCATAGGACTAGCCCAAATAGAGAGAGATTAATAATCATTTTTACATCATTAAAATACTTATATAGGGA